ATGGTTGTTATCTGCGCAACCCTCTTTGCTGAACTTCCGTTTATTTATTCTAAACCTCCAGGGGGTGGCTGGAGGTCTCCTGGGGTTAGTGTTCCCTCTAAGCTGAGTTAGTGTGAGCCAGCTCACAGTTTCTTAGCCTCCAGCTCACACATTCTTTGTCTTAGCTCGGGAAGGAGGGCTCCAGGGCAGACTAATTTATGCAGCAGCCAAATCGCTCGCTCACAACTTTAAGGCCAGTAGCTCACAAAGTAGAATTTTTGCTCACAAGACGCCACAGCTTAGGGGGAGCATTGATTGCAACTGTTCTCCAGGCAACAGACCCTACTGAAATACCTCCCCTCTCCAAACCCCGCCCTCCTCAGGCTCCACCCCCAGAATCTCCAGGTCTTTCCCAACCCGGATCTGGCGACCCTCTGTGGAACCACCCAAAATTTAGTAGAACCTCTTAATCAGGGCTTTTTTTGTAGAAAAAGCCCAGCAGGAACTCATTAGCATAATAGGCCACACCCAACAGCAGAAACTCATTAGCCTATTAGGCCACACCCTGAGATAGCAGCTTATAAGCCTATTAGGCCACACCCCCACGTTACCAGAAGTGTGCTCATCCAGCCACACCCACCTTTTGCTTCGTATTCTGTTTACCTTGTTTGTTGTCAAAACCCAGGGCTTTTTTTGTAGCAGGAACTTCTTTGCATGTTAGGCTACACACCCCTAATGTAGCCAATCCTAATGAGTGTCTGCTGTTGGGTGTGGCCTATTATGCTAATGAGTTCCTGCTGGGCGTGGCCAACTTGGGAGCCAGCCGGAACTTCGTTCCTGTGCGTTCCTGCCCAAAAATAGCCCTGCTCTTAATGATTTGTAACTGCCAGGTCCCCCCTAGCCACCAGCAAAGGATGGGTTTGGGTTTTTTTACCAGATCCAGGCTGGGAAACTCCTGGATATTTAGAGATGGAGTCTGGGAAGGACAGGGACCTCGATGAGGCACAACACAGTCCCCCCCCCACAAAAGCATCTGTTTTCTCCAGGGGAACTGATCTCTGTAGCCAGGAGATGAGGCGTAATTCCAGGGAATCCCCAGGTCCCACCCGGAGGCTGGCATCCTTGGGCCCTGTCCTTGTGGCAGCCATCTTATGATCGGCCCTGCCTCTGTGGCACTGGCAGCCATTTTGTTGCGGAGCTCCCAACATTTCTCAAAATCCCCAAGCGCACAGAAGCTCTACAAAGACAGGGAGGGGACCCCAGTCCTGGAGCAGCCCAACTGTCTTTTAAGCCCACCAGCTACAAATCTGACACCAAGAGCAAAGGAAGGAAGTCAGCTGCCAGCCTGGACTCTTTCTTTAAACTAAAATGTCCCACTGTGGTAACACAGGCATATCACCCCGCCTACCAATCATAGCTGTGCATATCATGAACTGAGGGCTCTTTTTGTAGCAGGAACTTCTTTGCATATTAGGCATATTAGCCCCTAATGTAGCCAATCCTCCAAGAGCTTACAGTGCTCTTCTTACAGGGGCTACTCTAAGCTCTTGGAGGATTGGCTACATTAGGGGTGTGTCGTAGGGTTGCCAAGTTGATCTTCGCCGGGAGCGGGGGGTTCCCGGCCGGTGTCTGGTGTGCGTGCGCTGCACGCACGTCACCCGGAAGTGACGGGAGGACGCCAGGCACAGTTTTCCCTTGAATGGCCGTGGCCCCGCCCCCAGCGTGCCTGGCGTCCTCCTGTCACTTCCGGGTGACGCGCACGTTGGGGCGGAGTTCCCCCCGGGGCCCGATCTGGCGCCACCGGGGAACGGGCCTCGGCCGTGGCCCCGCCCCCAGCGTGCCTGGCGTCCTCCTGTCACTTCCGGGTGACGCGCACGTTGGGGCGGAGTTCCCCCCGGGGCCCGATCTGGCGCCACCGGGGAACGGGCCTCTGGGGCGGGGTTTTCCCCGCCTCCCAGGGGGACTTGGGATCCCTAGTGTGTCGCCTAAGATGCAAAGGAGTTCCTGCTACAAACTCCGAAAGTGGCGATGAGTCGCCACACTTCCTCTGGGTTACAAAACAAAATCACTGCCACCGTGTATTGCTGACAGGACCACACAAAGCAGAAGCGGCTAAGGTGACTCAATAGTTTCACTCAAATTTAAATAAAAACTATATTTAAAAAAAAATAGTTTCACAAGCCGTGCTGGCTCCCAAAATGTAGCTTTCTACATTTAAACAGAAGCCAGCAATGGCAAGCAAGCAGGGTCAGCATAGCACCATATTCTCCCTTATGGCTGAGAACTGATTAACCGTCTATCTTTCAGGGTCACTTGCCTGCCATTAGCATTCTTTAATAAAGGAACCTCAGATGAGTTTTTAAGAGATTTCAGAGAAGCATCGACATGGGAAGGCTGAAGCCAAGAGAGGCACTTTTAGAGCGACAGAGATGCTCTGGAATCACACCCCTTTGGTTTCTTCCTCATGTACCTCTTAAGAACATCATTGTTGGATCAGACCAGTGGTCCCTCTAGTCCAGCATCCTGTCTCACACAGTGGCCAACCAGTTCCTCTGCAGGGCCAACAACAGGGCACAGAGGCCGAGGCCTTCCCCTGATGCTGCCTCCTAAGCTAGCACTGGGATTCCCTCTATATCAAATAACAGTTCTGCAAGACCATTTTAGGTGGGTAGCCATGTTGCTGTGCAGTAGAAGGGCAAGATTTGAGTCCAGTGGCACCTTAAAGGCCAACGAGATGACCAGGGTATAAGCTTTTGAGAGCCAGAACACTGGTATTTTATTTATTTATTTACTTCATTTGTACCCCTCCTTTCTATTGGATGGGGACCCAAGAAGACTGAGAGAGTGTGACCGGCTCAAAGTCACCAGTAAGTTTCCATGGCTCAAGTGGGGATTCGAATCTGGGTCTCCCAGATACTAGTCTGGCATTCTTAACCACTCACTGCACCATACCGACTCTCATCTGGTATCTGATGGAAGTGGTCCATCTATGGCTATGAGCCACAGGGTATAGATAGAACACTCTGCCTTGGGCAGTGATGCTCTGTCTTCTTGGTGCTTGGGAGGGGAAACAGTGGGAGGGCTTCCGTAGTTATGGCCCCGCTGGTGGACCTCCTGATGGCACCTGAGTTTTGGCCACTGTGAGACACAAGAGTGTTGGACTAGATGGGCCACTGGCCTGATCCAACACGGCTTCTCTTATGTTCTTATGTCTGAGGCAGTGATGCTCTGTATTCTTGTTACTTGGGGTGGGGGGCAACAGAGGGAGGGCTTCTGGAGTTCTGGCCCCACTGGTGGACCTCCTGATGGCACCTGGGTTTTAGCCACTGTGAGACACAAGTGTGTTGGACTGGATGGGCTGTTGGCCTGATCCAGCATGGCTTCTCGTACGTTCTCATGAGCTTTGTCTCTCGAAAGCTTATAGCCCAGAAATCTTGCTAGTGCTTAAGGTTTTATTGGACTTAAACCTTGCAGTTCTGCACGACAGAAGCCAAAGCCGATTCTACGTTGCCCTTTGTGAAACTGCCGGGAAGCCCATCCACCCACTCACCCTTAATCCCCAAAGAAGTCTGCACTGAAAGAAGTTGCTGCTGCCTCTTTACAACTAGTTAACAGAATGTTCATGCGGCAGAGGACAACCTGACTGGACCAAGAGAGGACAACCTGACTGGAGTGTGTAGGCCGGAGGAGAAGAGGAACGAATGAGTCAGGATCGGATCTGGTGGGCTGCCATACGTCAGTTCAGCGGCAAGACTGGGAAGAAGACAGCTTTGCACGGCCACTGAGGAAGGTGCCCTCTTTCTACTGTGCTTCTACTGTGCGTTTCCAGGGGTCATTTCGTAGAAAAAGAGGTGCAGGAGCTCATTAGCGTAACTCATTAGCATAACTTATTTGCATAGGCCACACACCCTGACATCACCGGAAGTGTGTCAGAAGGCAACACCCACCGCTCAGGCTCCACTGGACTGTTTTGGATTGCTAGCTATTGGGGAGGGGGGAACATGCAGATCTGCCCTCACAGAGGAGGGAGAGCTTGTACCTAAATAAATCTTGGTCTTAAAGGTGCCGCTGGACTGTTTTGGACAAGGGGGCAGGGGGGGGGGCTCTGCAACTTACCTGGCTGGTTCTTGCTCCTTGTGGCCCGATTGAGGGCTGCTGGGAGCAGGGGGCAGGGCTTGTTGCATGTGCCTTCCCCTTGGGCTCCTTACTGCCAGAGCTCTGCTCCTGTGCACTCCCGTAGGAAATGACTCACAGTTGCTAACTCCAGGTTAGGATATTCCTGGAGATATGGAGATCTGGCACCTAAAAGAGAGTAAGAGAGGCCCTATATATCCAACAAGGCAAGCAATGTCTCTGGATGTACCATTTGGACCATTCTAAGGCCTGTAATTCTCCCAGTCTTAACCCTTCTCTTTTACAAGAGAGTGAAATGCAACAGGGGCAGCTGTTCCTCAGACTTTAAAAAAGAAGTTTTGTATTGCCTCGACGCTGGGCCAGTCTGACTTGCATGGTGACTTGCACTTCCCTGGTAATTTATTTATTTATTATATTTTTAGTCACCACTCACCCAAAGGGTCTCATGGCAATTTTCGACATTAAAACCAATAAGGTACAAACAACTTAAAAACAAATAACAAATATGAGAAATTAACAAAATATTAAATTACGTGGCTATCACCATACCACTATTAAAACAGCTCAAACATGTGGTTACTCTCTGAAGGCCAACCTAAATAATTCAGCTTTGCATGCCCCATGGAAATTAAACAAGTCCCGTAGGGCACAGATGTCATCCAAGAGTGCATTCCACAGGGTAGGGTCCACAACTGAGAAAGCCCTTCCCCTGGTGGCAGTGAATCTCCTGGTGGTTCTCTCTGCCTCCCACCCTTGCTCAGTTGAGTTCTGGGAGGAAAAGGGAGGGATAGCAGAAGGAAGCCTCTGCCACCCCCAGTGTTCCTGGGGATGGCCAGGGGGGGGGCTCTGCAACTTACCTGGCTGCTTCTTGCTCTGACTGAGGGCTGCTGGGAGCAGGGGGCGGGGCTTGTTGCAAGTGCCTGCCCCCTGGGTTCTTTACTGCTGGAGCTCCGCTCCTTTGCCCTCCTGCAGGAAATGACCCCTGTGCGTTTCTATATCGACTCAACTTACCTCAAGGATGCTTTGAAGCTCTTCCACATAAACCCGTTCCGTTTCTATCAGTTCGTTGATAATATGGCTAAAGGAAAGAGAGAGGGAGAGCTGTAGTAGTTTCCGCGTCCAAATCTGAGAGGTTTTAAAACATTTATTTTATGCATCTTAAAATGTACGGTGCCACACTCCTCAGGCGGAACAGGCTTCTCAGAGCTGTGTGACGCCGAGAGAATTCATTGATCCACTCAGTGCAGTGTTGTCTGTTTTGAAGTCTCAATAGTCCTCCGGGAGAAAGCAGAGGTACCAACAGAAAATGAACTTTTGGCAAAAAAAAAATTGGAATAGCAGAAATGGATATATTGTCAAACCTATTGAAGGGCAGAGGTAAGCGGAACGCAAGAAATAGCTGGACACTATTTTATGACTGGGTGGAAAGACACCTCGAAGACCAAGAAGAACGAATAAACATAATATGGGACTACTAGAGGGAACAAAACACATTGTGTGTGGGGGGGACAAGCCTTGGGGCAATAGGGTCGAATGAGTGACAAAAAAAATGACAGTGCAGAAGTGTAAAATCCAGTTGGAAAGTAGATTGAAAGCGGATTATTTTGTGTGTGTGACTGCAGACAGAGTTTAGGCCTGGAAAGGGAAAAACTGCAAGGATGACCGCAGGGACACCCAAGCTACTTGCTCCTTTGCCGGGGCTCCCCCTTCTAAATAAATCAATGGGTGTGCTGCAATGCTCCCTCTAAGCTGTGGGGTCTTGTGAGCAAAAATTCTACTTTGTGAGCAACTGTCATTAAAATTGTGAGTGAGTGATTATGCAGTAGAGAGAGAAGGTTTTGTTGTATTTAGCCATAGGCCATTACAAACCACAGACAGAGAAGAACACAATAAAACATAAAAATTGTATAAAATAAGATACAGTCCAAACATTATAAGTCCATAAAACCGAGATTATGAACAGTTAATTAATTCACAACATACCCACTAAAATCAGTATTAGCTAGGAGCAGCATTGGCCCGTATTTTCCTTGCAGCCAAGGCAAATAGAGCCATTCCATTGGATATATCGGCATTGGCATCGGCTAGCAAAAATATAATCTTCTCTGGGACTGAGTAAAAGCTTAAAACTGATAAAGTACCAGATAAAAATTTTGACCTAGGTTGGGAGTACAATGAGCAATCAAAAATGTAATGGGAGAGATCCTCAATAGCAGAAGAGCCACAAATACATAAACGCTGTGCGTGATTATGCAGTAGCCAAAGTTAGTTTGCTCTGGGGCCACCCTTCCTGAGCTAAGACAAAAATGTGTGAGCTGGAGGCTAAAAAAACCGTGAGCTGGCTCACATTAACTCAGCTTAGAGGGAACACTGGTGTGCTGCAGAGCATGGACAAACACAAAACCAACACAAAACCATGTGGCTTCTATGTGCATTATCTGCAAGGCAGGAGTCAGGTGTACTAATTGAGCAGGGAATAGAAAACAATGACCCTCAGGTGCAAAAGAAAGGCATTATCATAATACATTTCAGGCATCACTGCAGAACAACAGATCCCCCCCCCACCATGCCTTATTTGCTAAGGCCGGCTCTGAATCCGGCACAGGCGTTCAGATGATCACAGGATATGAAAAACCCACAATATGAAAAGGAGCCTTTTGGTAACTTAGTCGCTCCAGAATGGCCGAACAAAGAGACTCTGGTTTTTAAAGAGGTAAGCCAGAAAAACACAGTGGGGGATGTGGATCAAGTACAGCAAATGTTTGTCTTGTCATGGGGATGAAGGCAGGGATGTTGACTTTGAAGGCAAGCCCAGTAGAACGCAGCTTTCTGCTACCGCTTAGAACTAAGCGGTATGTTCAGCACAATCATAAAACATCAGTCCTTCCCAAGGAATCCTTTTCCTTAAGATTGCAAGGAGGTGTGTGTGTACACAGGAAACATTTCCCTAAATTTAAAGCGAAAAAGCACTCTACGCATGAAGAAATCTAGCTCTTCAGGGAGCAATGGTCGACCTTAAGCCTTGCGTGTAGGTACTAGAAGTGCTAGAATGATTGAAAAACAAAAAAATAGAGGCATGATGATTATTATTGCCACAGATAGGATAGCTAGACTTGCCAAGTCCCCCCCGGGGGGGGCGGGAAACCCCTGTCCCAGAGGGGTATTCCCTGCTGGCGGTGGATCGGGCCCCGGGGGGAACCTCACCCCCAAAGCACGTGACGTGCACGTCACCCGGAAGTGACACGGGCACGCTGGGGGCGGGGCCGCAGTCATCTGAGGGAAAACTCTATGTTTTTCCCTTGGATGGTCGTGGCCCCGCCCCCAGCGTGCCCGGGTGATGGGGTTGTGGCGCACGCACACAAAGCGCGTGCACGCACAGTACCGAAGCAGCGGTGGAGTCCCCCACTCCAGCGCCGCTTCTGACTTGGCAGCCTGAAACATTTGTCTTAGCATTTATACAGTTCCTTTATTGTTCACATCATGTCACACTTGCAGGAAGTGAGGACTTTTCGGTTTCAGAGCGGGATAAGGGGCTAAGTCTAAAGAAAGAGCAGAGTCAAACCTGGAAGAGGGCGGAGCAAAACCTCGGGGTAAAGTCCAAAATCCAACGAAACAGTACAAAAATCATAAAGAAAAAACAGATCTTTATTACACCCATTAAAAACAAATTCATTAGCGCACCAGTTAGAAGAAATACATCCAGTATATATGATGCCAGAATTCAGTAGGTATGTTGCCGGAATTCTTTCACACTTAAGTGTAATTCTTCTAACCCATGGTGTTTTGGTAATCTAATCAGCTATAATATCAAGACTCATCTCTGGAGAGCAGAGCTGCTTTGGGAAATTCTTGGAGATTTGGGAGTGGAGCTTGGAAATGTCAGGGTTTCGTCAGGGGAGGGACCCTCAGTACAGTATAATGCCATAACGTCCACCTTCCAAAGCAGCCATTTTCTCCAGGGGAAATGATTTCTGTCGTCTGAAGGTCAGTTGTAATTCTGGGGGATCTCCAGGTACCACCTGGAGAATGGCAATCCTAAGAGATCTGTGTGCATCCATTAGGCTTGCCAACTTCCAGCTGGTGGCTGGAGATCTCCTGGGATTACAACTGATCTCCAGGTGACAGAGATCAGTTCCCCTGGAGAACAGTTCCCCTGGAGAACATGGCTGCTTTGGTGTAGTGGTTAAGTGTGCGGACTCTAATCTGGGAGAACCGGGTTTGATTCCCCACTCCTCCACTTGCACCTGCTGATGTGACCTTGGGTCAGTCACAAGCTCTGGCACAGCTGTCCTTGAAAAAGAGCAGTTTCTGTCAGAGCTCCCTCAGCCCCACCCACCTCACAGGGTGTCTGTTGTGGGGAGGGGAAGGGAAAGGAGTTTGTAAGCCGCTCTGAGACACCTTTGGGTAGTGAAGGGCGGGGTATAAATCCAATCTCTTCTCTTCTTCTCTACTTACTGAGCAACACAATGGGACTGCTTTGGTAACTGTGACAATCATTTTTTGGGAAGGAAATAATGCAAGGTTCTTGGTTCTGTTTCATTACGGTTGTCCACAGGAAATCAGCTCGCCTATATCATCGTCAGTTCTTTGAGGCCATTGACTGACTCTACAGTCTATGAAATTGGCCGCAAGGAACCAATGGGAGCCAAACTTCAACAACCAACTGAAACCTTTACAGTCACTCCAACTGCAGAAGCCAGATCTATGCAAAATGGGCCAAGTCCGGAACACAGATGAAGGCTGCCATTTTTACATCCAATTATATAAGGACCCAGCTCCTGTTTTCATTTTCTGCCCTCCTGATTGTCAACCCCTTCTAATCTTCATCCAAGAACACTACATTAGAAGTAGCTGTGGAGAACAGATAAGGCCAATGTTTCAAATAACCAGCAGGGGGAAAAACAGTTATCAAGAAGGAAGAGTGGTTTTGCAAGGGAGCAGCAGCAGGAGAGTTGAAAGCAGAGGGGGAAAACAACAAATGAGCAGATGGAGAAGGCAGCAAACCAAGCAATGCCAAGCCAGGAAAGGAGCCAGTTCTGAGGCACATATGCTGGCTTGAATTATTCAAGGTTACGGCCTAAAAATGAACACATTATGTGATAGAGGTGTAGTGGTCGCGTCACTTCCAGGTGACGGGGTTGCGGCGCATGCACGCCCGCTCCAGGAACAAGCCGGGAGCCCCCCGCTCCAACAGCAGGTAAGACTTGGCAACCCTACATGTGACTCAGCTAAAGTTGCCAGGTCCCCCCTGGCCACCAGCTGGTGGTGGGGTTAGGGTTGCCAGATGTAGGTTGGGAAATTCCTGGAGATTTGGGGACTGAGCCTGGGGATTACAGGGACCCCAGTGGGGTTATTGGGTTGTTGGGATTTGTTGGGATTTGCAAATTCTCTCTTTGTAGCCATGAAAGAATTAACTGTTTGTTAACGTGTGCTGATGTCCTAGCTAGTTAGCTTAGGGACCCAATGCTAGAGCCTGCATGTATTTGCCACCAGAGCAAAGTGACAAAATGCATAATTAGTTAGCATTTGGATTCTCCAGTTGGGTAATCAATACTTTGGGGATGGGCTAGACACTAAGCACTGCATTTCAGATTATTGCTCTTAGTTCTTCTCCTCTAGTTCGTCCTCACATGAGGTTTATAAAAGCCAGAGTAAAGATGTAGCTTAGAGATTCATACAAGGACTCGTGGGCACTCCATGAAATTGCTGAGCAGTCGGGTTAGAACGGATAAAAGGAAGAACTTCTTCACCCAAAGAGTGATTAACACATGGAATTCACTGCCACAGGAGGTGGAGGCGGCTACAAGCATGGACGGCTTCAAAGGGGAATTAGATAAGCATATGGAGCAGAAGTCCATCAGTGGCTATTAGCCACAAGGTATAGATAGGAACTCTCAGGCTGGGGCAAGTGATGCTCTGTCTTCTTGGTGCTGGGGGGGGGGTCAACAGTGGGAGGGCTTCTAGTGTCCTGTCCCCACTGGTGGACCTCCTGATGGCACCTGGTATTTTTGGCCACTGTGTGACAGAGTGTGGGACTCGATGGGCCATTGCCCTGATCCAACACTGGCTTCTCTCATG